ATAGCCGAACGGCTAGCTGATGTCAGCCCCCTCACTATTCGTTAAGGAATCGATGACTTTCTGTCTACCAGACTGAATGTCTCACGACAAGTTGGAGATGCGATGGCTGATAGCCAAGACATGCGGACGAAAGAAGCAGAAGAAATGTTACAAACCTTGAGGTCAGAGATAAGATTTTATTATAAGCTAAGACCTTCCTACAACATGCAGTTTCTGCTGTCTTTAAGACGAAGCCCCGTCCACGGTCTATTAGACATTTAAATGGCTACGCGGGGCTTTGCGTATACGCTAAACCTTCCGACAAGGATGCGCACCCACCCGACGTTTAATGTGGGCTTGCTCAAGCCGTACCGGGATCCGGCGCTCATGAACCCTCGGCAACCCAGAAGCTGAATAAGCAACTGGTTCTGAGCACGGATTGCAACAATTTCCGATTCCAACGGCGCAAGGCGCTTCACTATTGCACGAAGTGACGTATTTGTCTCCTCGACAGCTAGAAACCGCTTTAACGGAGCGCGATAGTTTTCAAAGTGAGGCAGTCGGTGCATAAAGTGCTCTAGGCTCTCGAAGCCTTCCGCACAGCAGTATGCGACCTCGGCAAGATGCTCGGCAGAGTGCCGATAACGACGGACTTTGTCCTCCAACGCTCGAAGAGATCGCGAGTCATCGGACGGCGATCAATCAAGTTGTCATTAACCGCCGCCGATTCTTCTCGATAAGAATGGTGGCGTCCGCTACCACGTGGAATGCCTTGTGAGTCGACAACATCGACGGAGTTTAATCCAATATCTTGTGAAGTTGCGGGGGTGCCCAAACTCCGAGAACGTTTTGGAATTTGAAGTGCCACATCGGCGAGACTGTCCAGACGTCGTGGATGCTTATGATCAGAAGGATCATGACCAGCTGAGGGCCCTGCATTACTGTGATCGTAGACTCACCCGTGTGAGAAACCACAGATCTCGCGGGAGCGTGATAGATTGTTATATGTCGCAGGTCGATAATACGCAGGAAGTCGGCGTTGCGCCTTGAGCTTGGCAAACTCTACGATGGAGCTCTGCGCGCACGTCCACTTCCTTGTGGCTTCGCTGTAGGGTAGACAGCAAAGAAGTTTCCGGTGCCACTTCACCCATCGCTCGAAGCGCTCCTCATCAGCAGCAGCGGTTCACTAGAGGCGAGCACCACAGGAATGGTCCGCATTGCGAGTACAGGAGCGCCTTCTTTTTGAGCTCGAAGTCGAGTGCGGTACGTATCCATTGGGACTTCTTGGGGTAACAAGAAGCGAGTTCGGAAAGCTTTCCGCTGGTCAAGCTCAGCTTGTGTAGTGGCCGAGGCCCGATTACGTAGACGCCTCGCGATCGAGTGATCGCGTCAGTAGCGGGACCCTCTGAGCGGAAGCTGTATTCCAAACGAGGGTCTAAGACCGAATATGAATACGAGCGCAGGAGAGCAGCTCTTTAAGCAGCCTCCATTTGTTGACCCTGTGCCTCGTCAAAGCGATTGGTAATAATACCACTTCCCCCGAAAGCCAAGAGATCGGTGAACGGACATGGCGTCCGCAAGGTTTGAGCTGAGCTCAAGGCGTACTTCATCCTTCTCGTCTTCCCATGCTGAGAAAGGAGTATCCGACTCATAGTCGATTTTGTTCAACTCATCAAAGAGGAAACCCGTCGCCCGGGGTGCGGTGTATTGCGCTCGGTTGTCGAGGGCTTAGGATGCGCTTCCCGTGAAACCGCGGACGTACGGTCTGAAAATTTATGATGTGCAGAAAAAGAAGGGCTTTGCTCGCGGGCGCCCTCGGAACCAGCTAGGCTGGGTGTTTCCGTGTCATAGACACAGGGCTCATTAAGCAGTGAATGCGTGAGGTTGGCCCTGGGAAAGTAACGGTGTCTCAGACAGGAGAGCCTCGTACGAGGCGTCAGTTAAAAGTGAATTGTGGGTGTTTACAATTTTGATGATGGAGAGTGTAACGAGGTCACACGTACCCTGGTCTGAAGAGGTGGGTCACACAAAATGGGTTGACCACACAATGGCGTGGCTACACCGTAACAAGAAGCCACTATGTGGCGGGACTTTCAGTGATTGTGCATTTTAATGAGCCTATAGATTTAGACCTTGGCTGCTCTGCCGCAAATGAAACAAAAGAAATACAAATTACATATTGAACGGAAGAGTGTACTTGCCTTGGGTTAAGGTTGTGGGCATTTTGGAGTCAGTGGATTGCGATCCGCTACACTTTTACTGGTTCTAATATAGAATACAAGGTTGGTGACCTTAGCTTAGCTTCCTAAAAGAGCTAAGGCAGCCCCGCTGCACTTATGGTCCAAGTTTTAAATACTATTTTTTCGATTCTGTCATGCCTAGAGTGTTAATAATCACGACGACCTGGATGTTTAAGCAACTATATGATTATACGAATCTGGTTGAGCTAAATCTTACGTCTTACGCGACTTTCATGACAGATGAGTGCTACTCCGTCATGTAATAATTGAAAACTGATGATGACACTCCGGTTGACTGTTTCTGCTGTGAACATCTCGTAATCAACCAGTCATTGCTATGTTGAACAGTAAAATATAAGGTCAAAAAGCTCAGGATAAAAATAACTCCTGTCCATCTCACATAGACTGTGGTTGGTGTTTTTCGAGCAGTGTCGCTCATGCCTCCATATTGATTGATAATTTGAAATGAAGATGCTACGGCAAACATTGTGTTCAGGTCGAATATTCGAGAAGAACCAATGCGCATGAAAAATTATGCTAATCTGCAAAAATGTAAGCCAGATTTGTCAATCAATGGTGCAAACTTGTAACGGGGTTACACGTACCCTGGTATACAGGAAAGGGTCACACGAGATGGTGTGACTGTACAATAGTATGGATTACACAAGTCGGTGTAATTACACAATGGTATGGCTACACCGTAACAGGAAGCCACTACGTGGCGGGACTGCCAGTAGTTATGCGTATTATTTAGTTCTTACTGTTTAGTTAGGAACACTCAATATTTTGGATATAGGCTCTCTGCCACAAATAAAACAATCAATTGAGTTTCAATTTTGAACGGAAGAGTATATATGCCTTGGTTAACGTTCTGGGCTCTCTTGGAGGTAGCGAATTGCGATCTACTACACTCGTACTGGTTCTGGTGTAAAACGTGAGGTCGATTACCGTAGTTTGGCTTCCTCTAAGCAAAGAGCTACAGTAGCTTCGCTTCAAAACTACACTGGATAAGTGCTCAAGAAAATGCGCGTTACATAAGCTATTCGCGAATTTAGACAAGTTTGAGTTTGACGTCGGCGCTAATTTTTGTGTACTGCTTCATTAAGAAGCAGATCCTGCAGTAAGATCGAGGAAACAAATACCATTCAGAAGTAGCCCGTACCAGTGTCTAACTCGTAGGACTTCGTGTAAATAAAGCAATCGATCGAACTTTCTTTTGAAGTCTCAATCACCCTCTTCAGTACCAAAGCTTTGGTACTTTTGACTTTTTCTGAATATCTGGAGGGTACTTGTCTACTGTGTATGACACCAAGTTACGGTCAAGTGATGAAGGACATGGACTTCTAGTCGCAATGTGCAACACGCAGGGCTTTCTTAATCAAGATAATGAAACATATAAATGTTGTATTGTCTTAAGCTAGACTTTGCTCCAAATATGTGCCGCTCTATAGTTAAAAAACAGCATGAAGAACCCGGTTGCTTGAGAGGTTCTTGGTTCTGCTTCTGGGTTGAGCGTTTAGCCCCATTCTCTATGCGATTACTTAGTAGATTCAGTTACGAGGTGCACGGCAACTCATTGGCAGTTCGTACAAAATTTGAATGAAGTATATCAAACAGTATGATCTGTTCATCGAAGATCAATTCACCGAATGCGCTCAGTCGCATGGATATTTATCTGTTGTTTGTGCGCAGATGCTTTTGTGTTCACCGCCTTTACTCCGTTAGATAACAGCTGCACGATACATGAAACATTAACTCAAGCTATTGATTTTTTATCATACTGCAAAGCTTGTCGTGGTGGAGAGGGTGTTTAAAAGCAGAAATAAAGGTTGAGCAAGATGTTTTATCGTAACAAGAGATAGGCTCAGCATCCCACTGATACTTAAAACGATTCGTGTTCAATTCTCTTGGGTACAGTATTCGACGGTGATGTTGCTTTATCAGCAGGGCTCCAAGACTACAGCAACTAGCAATGCTAGTGAATATACATATGCTTCATTAGCGAAGCTGCAATATTGCGTAATAATATTCAGTCGTCCATGGTCTGTCGATGTTTTAAATACAAATCTGAGTATTGAAATTGCAATCAAAATTATTAATTTTCGCATTCTAAAGAATGTAGTTTACAGCATCAAGAGTAACAAATTTATTATTTGCTTTAATGATGGCCGTGCAATTGGTCGGACGCACAAGCAAAGTGGTACTACATGATAATATTTGATAGCTGCCGACATTGTGACACATAGTAAGACAATTTAGAAGCTGTAGATGGTATTATCTCACTATGCTCAAACAAAGAATTTGAAGTAAAAGCTCAATTTATGGTTAATAGTGCTTTTTACTTTGTCTCAACAACATTTATCGACAGAAAATATTTCACCGTAGCAGTAGTGCGAATGCGACAACGAAGCATTCTAGGATTAATTCTGACAACATTGTGAAGTCATTTCGAGCGGGGAGAGGCTCGTCAAGTGCAGAAAATCCTATGGATGTCGCTTCATTTCTCATTTAAGTAACGACATTTATCTGCTTGGGAGCTTTTTAAGCTTTTCTATCTCCATAAAGTTGTATGGCCATAGTTGCTTGTAGGATTGTCGCAGCTTTGAGGAATAAATTTAAGAAAATAGTAAACTCTCAATGTCGAATACAGTTTTTATAGAGAGCTACTTTGCCCAAATTGGAAATACGGTGCCTGCTCACTCGAACAGGTGTTTTTCTCTACGTTTCGAGCGCCAGGGGCGCTGGCTCGGACAACGGACAGCAACTTTGACCATGGCGAGCATGTGCACGAGTCGCAAGCTGCGATTATTGTGTCTTCATGGCATGTACCAAGACGCAATCACCTTCGCAAGCAAAACTAATCTCCTTCGTCATGCCAACGCCGGTGTGAATTTTGTCTATCTGGATGGGCCCTTCACCATTGTACCTCCTATTTTGGTATGCCAGAGAAAGCGTTCTAGTGCATCATTTGGTAAACTCAAAGTCGGTCACTGTGCAAAGAAGAAGGCCGAGTTCCGCGCGTGGTGGCGGCCCCTGAGTGCCCACGAAGATGATTTTAGTCAATTAGACAGTGATCGAAGCGTGCTCATATCATATTTGCGTCAAAAGCTAGACGAGATTGGAACCGTAGATGGCGTTATTGGATTTTCGCAAGGAGCAAGTCTCGCAGCTTGGATGTGTTCGAAACAGGTACGTAGCCTGAAATGAATGCTTTTGTTAGCTGACTAATTTCGCTCATTTATCTGATACTTACCAGGCGCGTGCCGAACTGCAATGGAGTCCAAAAGTAGTGGTGCTGATTGGCAGCTATCTGAGCTATCCGCCATTTTCCTTGGACTCAGGCATTATCTCGGGTATGGCGTCGCTGCACATGTTTGGCTCAAACGACTATGTTATTCCAGCAGCAAAGAGCCAACAAGTAATGAATATATTCAAAAAGCATGAGGTGAGTGGGTGCTACCATTTTTGTCTGAATGTCTGAATGACACTAAATTCCAACTCGCAGACCACAAATTACCCTGTTTTGACATCTGTGCATACCCAAGGCCACGTGATCCCTAAATGCGACAAGTCCATTAAGTTGTTCGAGTCATTTATTTCTGACCAGCAGCAGAAATTGCACGGCTGCTCCAGCATTTCGTCCTCAAGGTCCCTGGAGACTTGTGAGCGCGAAGAATTGACCCCCTCGGAAGCCCAGGCGTCTCAGCGGGTCTGTATGGTGTAGCTCTACTCTGATAATTTAATTCAGTAGTATGCTGCGTTTTCTCTATTTTCCTATTTCTACCAATAAAGATAATACGATGCCCTAGACCACAAATCAAATAGAATAGCGAAAAAGGAGGCAAGTGGTCATGTCAGCTGAAGAGGTCGCCAAGGCATTCGTCAATCACTATTACACTACTTTCGACACGAATCGTGCTGGGCTCTCAAGCCTTTACGTAAGTACTCCCTCGATGTGTCCATACAGTTATCCATATTGTTTTAAGTAATTATTATTGTCATGACAGCAAGGTGTGTCCAGCCTGAGCTGGGAAGGCCAGATGTCTACCGGCCAGCAAGCAATTATGGCTAAATTACAAGGTTTGCCAACCGTTCGTCATGAATTCCCGACGGTGGATATTCAGCCGTCCACGTCAAGCAATGCTATGATCATATTTGTGCAAGGCAAGATCCAGATTGAAGATAACAACGCCATCCAATTTACGCAGGTCTTCCAGCTTGTGGCGCATCAACCTGGTCAATACTACATTCATAATGATATCTTTCGTCTGCAGTATGGATAAGCGACTTGTCGCTATGAAAGTGCTGAGTGTACCAATCATCCGTTAGGTAGCACGAGTGAAGGAAAGATTAGAAGCTCAACACAAAAAGCTTTTTATTTTTAAACTTAGACCCGTTTACTTGTGGCGCTTCCGATTCGCGTATTCGATTAGATCAGAGCAAAATAGAAATGGGCATTGGTCAATAGGGGCTTCAGTTTTCTCTGCCGCAACTAAGAATCGGTTGCAATGTGCGAGGTAGTTGTTGGGTATTGCTATACAAATAGCTCTTCACTAGACAATTTCAGGAGTGCTCGCTGCGATGTTTGTGCAAGCTCAGACAAAGCGTGTGCGATAGAAACTTCACTAGGTATCACTTGTTCTTCGGAGCTCAATATTGACGAAAAATTGGTCGCAGTTCGCTTTTTGACTGGGTTCTGTATTACTGATTTTAGTGATAGAAAAAGCTTCCACTCAGTTTTGTCGAATATTCGGCCCGAGTATAATTTCTTAAATCAAAGGCTATTTTTCACGCAAAAATGGGAATATCCTACAATTGATTCAACCAATCGTAGTGTAAATAGCTTTGAGAAAGCGAATTCGTAATGGATCCACGATCGATTGATTGACAGCTAACAGGCAACTGATGTGCGGCGAGCACGTCCTATGATGAGCAAATACTTTACTATCGGGATATTATTGTTTACGGGACTCTGAAAATGAGGGATCCGAGGTACTCGTGGGCTGAATAGAAAGCAAGGTATTCTGAGAAATAGTTATGCATATGTAGTTAATATTAGTCCTAATGAATCAGTTCTTAATATATGCACTCTTTAACAAGCACAGCAAGCAAATAACATCGATTAACTGAGGGGCTCTCAGCACCGCTCCTGGTAAAAGCGCACTAGCTCAACCCTTGTGCGGTTGTTGACGCGGACTCTGGAAGGCAAAGCTTTCTCTGTACAATTACACGGCACACGCCGTTGCAGGGTATCCATCGTGAGACCGCCGGTGTTGGGCGTCTAAGCATTTGAGGGCCGGAGCCGCAAAAACTCCCGAAGAATGCGGGAAGTTAAAACTGCAATGGATTTGGCCTTTTTTTGAACAAGCAACACCGCTTCTCGCTTGTAATCTTCAGGGTAGAAGTTCGTGCGCGAATATGGGCTGTTTCCTACAAAACCCCGGGCAAATCAGGCGTTTTCAACCTGGGGTGATTAAATACGACAAATTTCCCGGGTGCTCGCACCACTTAATCATATCGGGTGCTGTTGAAGATATTATCTACGCGTCAAGCGAGGCGAAACTTTGTAGACTATGTCCAGGGATTTAAACCTTTGATTGGCGCAACTGCGCACTATTCACTCCCAGAGGTGGAAACGTTTATCTTTGTCGTGGTGGTCTTCGAACTTAAGCAGCTTGGACCAAGACTTTCCACGTCTACTTAACTCCGTTTGAGAAATAGTTAGGTAATTTATTCAATGCGAAGTACAGCTATAAAGTTTGGCGCCGCGGGGCCAGATGAGAATGTCGATGTTTACGAGTGCGTCAAAAGCGATGACCATCGGCAATGCTGAAGAAGCAGATATAGATCTCTCAGCTCATGATCGCTACGCGGTACCCGCAGGTGTTTCAACTGCAGTGGTACAAAACTTCGGCGCCTTAAACACCTGCTTAAGGGTCGGGTTTCACGCAGGCCGAGCCACTTCCCCAATCCTTTTGGGTCAGAGACCCCGGTACTATTGACAATGACTTTTATCTTTGTGGGGTTCTGTTATTTGACGAAGCACCCAAGAAAAAGAATTTCGGCAAAGCCAAAGTTACACTTGACTGTATTGGCAAATAATTTATTTAAGAGCATACGCTCGAGTACCGCTCGCAAGTGCTTAATGGGGTTTATATCCAACTATTTGTTCTTTGCACGACCACGGATGAAAAAATCGTCGAAATTGTTTTTGCATAGCCACACTATGACGTGAATAGCTATACCACCGGACGATTAAATTGCGCTGGTGTATTAGACCTTCAGTTAGCATGTCCCTGTCTCAGAGCATCCTCTTCAGTTCATCAATACGAGGGTAAAGACAACTCCAGAAGTGATGAGAGGGGTATTACTGTCTCTCACACGTAGTTAACATCGTCCAAGCTGCTAGTCACCACATCCTTATATAAATCGGTGTTTCGACAGGTATTGTTGCTACATTTTGCTTATGGTAAGCATGCACAATTCGTCGTGTAACGTTAGGCTTTCTGACACAAACTCGTTGGTGCTGGGTGTGGATATTCACTTTTCTTGCACCGAACCCGCGTCTGGTTCGCACAAAAAAGCGCGAATGGCATCACGCTGGACCCTTATGATGGCCATTGCCGTCTATCGCAATATCCGGTTCGAGAACCAGGTCAATTTCATGACGCACACCCTTATTCGGCAGTAAGATACGTGAAGGATCTCTCGACACCACGTCATGAAATTCCTTCGAAAGATGGATAGGATCGGTGGGTTTCTTAGGAATAGCTGTTTTACTCTTCGCACTCAGCGTTTAACAAAGTCCCCCTCATACATATTCCTTGGGCATAGATGACGAGCACAGCTTTCTCTGTTGTGCCAATCATACGCCTTTGCTGACCCCATCGACTTTAATTCCATACATACTTCCTCGATATAGAACCTTTCGCAGGAAGTAGTAGAAACAGACTTTCATCCTCTAGGACTACTATCACTCCACAACGGGTCAAGAATATGCTTACTCGTAAAAGCTCACCGCTCCGCACGGCGGATCCGATACACAGTATTACTGACTGAATACTACCGTCACATTGCCGTCCTGATTATGAATAGGATGTAGCCTTTTTACAAATATGTTGTAGTTGCCATTCAATCTCACCGGTCCTGGCACAGGGGACAACCCCTTAGAATCGTCCCCTTCCCTCCCGCGAGGGGTACACTCTCGGGACTCAGCATACGGTCGTCTGTTCTCATCCAACCAGATATATACTAGGAAGCCCGCAATTTGCAATCGACCTTCATCACCTCATCTTAAAACTGCGGCTTTAGATCGATCCTGCTTTCCGATCTCTACTTGAGACACCTAGCAATATCAAAGCTATCCAATTCGATAAATTTCATGTCTTGTACGTAATCTAGCGAGGCTTCCTCTTCCGGTAGAGGTAGGTTTACAGCTCCTTCAGGGGAGAATTGTGTGGCACCTAATGATGTAGACTTTAGTCGACGATAAGGTCATGACTCCGTAGCAACGCCCAGCTGAAAATGACATGATATCTTAAATGGGTCTAGAATGATACTGCAATCTATGCTCTCAAACTTTATTTGAAGGTTCTGATCCTTCGGCGCTATCGCCAGTGTTCCAGCCAAAAGACGGACGGATATCGCAAACCGTATTTAAGATCTTCAATGCTTCAGCGGGCTGTCAAATGCTTATGACAATCGCGCGTCGTACGTATTCGCACGATGCTAACTTATCATTCAGGGCCTCATAAGAACACAACGCCCGCAAAGCTGATACAGAAGCCAACAACTCCTACGTGGAAGACGACCCTTGATACCTTTCACGTCTCCGCCCCTAGGGAACTACCTGCATAAGTACTATTCAAGCTATTCCGACACGGCATAACCCCTAGTCATTCTACTCGAAACGGAAATTGATATGCTGACATGCGGCGATGGAGGCGATCATTAAGACTATGGAAGAAACTCTCATACATGCCCCAATTCTGGCTCTCTCGATTCCAGATTGACCTTTCCATTGTTGTTTCAGTATTCAAAAAAGGCGGCGCTTTGCCTTAAGCAGATACTAATGCTTTGAATGTGCGATCGCGCTCAAATCTCGCCCAAAAAAAGCTGCTGCGAGATGCTATCCACTTATGACAAAGAGCTAGTTGCAATAAAGTATTCTCTGGTCAAGTAACGGGTGCACCTGCTTGGCTCTAAATCGTATTTGCTCTATGCAGATCATACGTCGTTGTGGTAGCGGCGCTGTCAGCACATCTCTCTTAAACAATGGCGAGATCAATTTCTTCTTTGTGGAGTATATCTTGGGTAAGATTTAATCCGTGCCGGCTTCATGTAGTGGTAGATGCGCTTTCGCGTCGCTCGACTATCGATTGTCGCATTTCGCAATTTTGACGTCGCTAACCGATGAGGAGATACGTATAGAGGGTCAGACGCTTGCGCTGCTAGAAATATCTGGAAAGAAGCAGATTGAAAAAAACCATATGCCGCTTAAGAGATGCGCGCGGTTCCAAGCCAGCATCGTTATCTCTTTCACAAGTGATTCACAGCACCGACTCATATGACACTAAGCGTTTGACGATGCCTCAACATGGGGACTTTAAGGACAGAATACTGTACGAGGTTCATAGTGACTCCATGGGCGACCTCATAGGAAGATAAAGAACATATTGCTCAATAAGAGCAAATGATTGGTAGTACAACATGGAAAGTGGATTAGTATGTATGTGTGCACGTAAGAAACTGTAAACGAATCAAATTTTTTTTTTTAAATTTTGCCGCATGCGGCGCTTCGGTGACCAGGCTTCCGCCTTCGGTATTTTTTGCATGCCAACAGTATGGACTCAATTAAAGGTTTTCTAAGAGACGCGTCCGATAATACCAGTAATATGGACTTAGCAGAACGCCTGAGCTAAATGAATTATCTCGCTAATGTCGCCAAAAAGTGGACAGTTGGGGAAAATACAGTCAAGCTGTCCCTTGACAAATCATTTGCTTATATAGCTTGCCCGTGGTCATTGTATCAGATGATAAAACGCCACCTTTGACACACAATTCAAGGCGCTCGGTATCAGATTGTAACTGCAAAATGCTGCCTGTGTACGAGTTACACACGCTTACTGTACATGTCGACCGCCGACCAACCGCATACGGTTGGTTACACAGAACGCACGAATCGCGTTGTGGATGATATAATCCGAAGCATTAGCGCGAAAAGTCCTTACTGCCAGGCGAGCTGATCCTACTTTTAGAGTTTGCGTTAAATGACATCATAAATGCTTCTATAGACTTTACCCGCTTTACAAAAATGATTTGATGAGACCCTGAGCGCCTCTGATGCATCAGCATCCGCATCCCAAAGTGGTGCTGATTTAGTGATAGGAGAGCTGCCGATCGCGATTAAGCTGCTGAATTCAGCACAGCTAGATTTTGCGGTGAACCTGGCCTTGCAATTCGATGAGTTTAAACGTTATTAGCAGCGCACCTGATACTAAATCACACACAGGATAACAAGCTCGTTGTCAAAGACAGGCAATTGACACACAAAAATATTTCGAGGTGCATCAAATCAATCTTCAAATGCAAATCCACGGTCTAAAACATTGAGTCGTGACTGCGCTCTATCGAACCGTTCACGGTCGTAGCAAAAGAAAGATTGAGGTACACCCTAAATATGCCAAATTAAATGCGTGTTATTTGTGGGCTATATCACGATATCGCACGTTTAAATCAGTCAGATGTGAAGATATCTACGGTAGGCAAAGCACTTCTATCATTCTCAGTATCAGAGTTACCCTCTGCCCCTATGTAGCAACGCGGCCCAGAACAGTTGGGTTTCCTCAAATTTATCTGTGCGATGGCGATGCTTAAAGCGCGAGTCCGAGATTAATCTGATCCGGGTTGTCAAGCGCACGCCGTAACTCTCAGATCGATTCTACGAGGCACCAAATCCTAAAGCGCGCACGTGACCCAGCTGCGGGAGGGTCAATTTCGGCTGGGCATGCCTGATTATCAAAGGGTGGCTCACTCACGCAAAGCGGTGTATCGACTGGTGGCTTCTACAAGGCGGTACCAATCGTGGTGATGTGGAATAGTATGTAAATCGTGAAAGTCTGAGGTCCCATTTCGGCAAGATTGCCCTAGCGCCGTGACCACTTACGGCCTGGTGTACCCTCGGCTTTTATCCATTAGAGCAAGGATGCAGGGAAGCGTTTCTCGTACTTGAGTGAGGCGATCGATCTTGCGTCAAATAGGATTCTTGGCCAGGTGCCTATCAAGTTTTTTTATGGAGATGAGCGGGGTTGCTACAGCAGGAACATGACGTGATGAGTTGTCACCTGGACGTCCGCATCCCGCTTTACGCTTTGAAGGTCAGGCAGAAGACGACCCTTTTAGGCAGTCGTCCGTATGGCCGAAACTGGCTTATAAAGCCTTCAGATTGGTGGGACGACGAGTGTTCATCACCACATGAGCGAAATGTAACACATAATTAGCAGCTTCTGATGCCCCACGGTACGTCCCTCTGCTGCTAATGCACTCACGGAGCGACTTTTTTGTTTTGTTCCCTCTGGGTGAGCGAAAAACCCGCAAGCTTAGGTGGGCGACTTCGGGCGGAAAATCTTATCACGACGTGATTGGTACAACCAGCGCAGATTGTTAGGAAGGGTCCATTTAGCTGTAACGATCTGAACATTGCCGTTGTCTTCAGATCGGGGTGTCGATCCGGGAAGACTAAGGTGTCGGGTCGGGACATGAAAGCCAATGATACAGTTTGGGCCGAATGGAACCTCGTCTTTTCCGGGAATTGTGGCTTTAAGATCATTGGTCGCGAGGACTGTGCCTTTTTGGGATCTCTTTTAGCAGTAGCCACACTCAAAAAGTTGATTTTCGATGTGGATGAGGCTCGTAAGAGCAGGCAGTATGCGATGCAGGTGGCAGACTAAAATTAAACACTGGCAGTTATAATTGAGCATTCACTTTGGAGCAATGTAATTTAGTAACGAAAAATGCGTGGCTCACATTTGTTGGGGAGGGTGTAGTAAGACAACGTTTGATCTTATGGTGTTAGTACACATTACACATACTAAAGCACTGGTACTGATAGCTCCATAACGAAGAGATTCACAGGGCTCGATGGCTGTTAGCTTCACATTGTTTTTTTTATCTAAGTAAACATATGAATTGGCCCAGCTCTCCGTCCTTCCCACTCATAGTTTGCGTTAGACTTAAATTCGAGTTTATACCACCTTTGAAAGCAATAAAGTTCAATCAAGTAAGCTGAGAGGCTCTTGGTTTCGCTTCTGGATCGAGCGTAAGAAGAGCTACACAGTTTATTGTTATCGCGGACGTACACAATGAAAGTTTCTCTTTGCAAGGTGCTAAGCATCCCCTGTACATAATTTATACGATAGATAGTAATACAAGTATCATCATTTAAGCTCAACAATGTTTTCATAAAGTACATGTTTGATTGACAGCAAAAGAAATGCTCATTGCCGTGAGGCTTTAGTTTTGCGGACACATCGTGTATGGATTAGAAAATTTGAACTCGCAAAGTCAAAAGATTTCGTGTGAAGTGCACGGAACACATGACATTATTGTCAGTCTGATTTAAAAGAAGCTCATGCATAGCGTGATGAAGTGATACGATTAGTGCTTACCATTGATTGGACTCCGTGAAGGGTTCGTCTCACGCTATGTATTAGATAAGGTTCTGTCATAATACCATTAAAACATACTCAATTTTATCATATCTCTCTTGAATCAAACGCCTTAATCCGGAACCTGATTTCCGTTCGATGTTTTTATCCTCTGCCCGTTAATAAATATGAGAGTCAAAGCTTCCACTGTATGAGGTAAACAACGATCCCTTGGCGCTCATAAGGAGTAAAACATTGAAGGATAGGGCTGCAAATTGCATGTGTATTGATGTGGTATACATTTCAAAGTGAGAATTTTTAAATTTATAACGCGAAAAATAACAGGTCAATGAGTTGTTAGCTGCAAGGTAGCAGTTGCTTTTGTAGCCAACAAATAAACAAAAATCAAAAGAGGCAGATGTCCATCCAGAATAGTGTGAAGGAAACCGTCCTAGTTGATTTTCTTGGCGGCTGAATCGGATATACTGTCAAATCATTGCAGGTAATAAATATTCTCTCTTAAGTTTATCCGCATTTTTTATTCACGTATTTTAAATCCAAGATACTGAAGATGGCATCATTTATTTTTGCAACCTCCAATGGTGCGTGTCGCGGTGGTGGGCTGTGCCCATGGAATGCTGGATGATATCTACGCTACACTTCAATTTGTGAACCAAATGAATCCCGATAAACCGGTACGATTACTGCTGTGCTGTGGTGACTTTGAGTGCATGCGCAACACGCATGATCTGGAGACACTGGCATGTCCACCCAAGTACCGCGCAATGCATGCCTTTCACCGGTATTACAAAAAAGAAAAGATTGCACCGGTGCTCACAATATTCATCGGAGGTAATCACGAAGCTTCAGGCTATCTCAAAGAGCTACATTATGGGGGATGGGTGGCTCCAAACATGTTTTATCTTGGCGCAGCTGGCGTTATTAATGTTGCGGGTCTGCGTATTGCTGGGCTGTCAGGTATATACAAGCAACAACACTACACCGCAGGACATTTTGAGTCGCAGCCATTTGACAACAATACTATGCGTAGTGTGTACCATATCCGCGAGCTCGAGGTTTATCAGCTCTCGCATGTGCAACAGGTCGATAAGACTTCGCTTGGCGTGTTCTTATCACATGACTGGCCTCGAGGCGTCGAGCAACATGGCAACGTGTCACAGTTGCTTCGTCGTAAACCATTTTTCGAACAAGAGATCAGGACCAATACACTTGGAAATCCAGCCGGTGAGTTCCTGATGTACCAATTGCGACCGCACTACTGGTTTGCCGCTCACTTGCACGTTAAATTTGCTGCCATCGTCGTTCATCCGGATCAAACAAGGAGTGTAGATCACCCAGTGGTCGGCGAGGATACTGAAGTGGAGAAGTTATCTGAACGTAGTGGACAGAAGTCTTCACCCCAGCCAGCGATCACAAAGTTTCTGGCTCTTGATAAGTGTCTACCTCGGCGAGAATTTATGCAGGTTTTGGACTTGCCTTGTTCACGGAGTGATGCAAAGCCTGCAGCGTCAATTAGTGAACCGATGGGCATACCCGCAAAGAATTTTTTCCGATCAAGTCAAAATAACGAGTTTGAATCACCCAGAATTATGTTTGACCTCGAATGGCTTGCTATTTTGCGAGCGACACATCACCTTGCTTCGTCAAGCAAGTTTGCACCTCGTGTGCCGCAAGATGAGTTAAAGATAGAGCGTAAAGACATTGAGTGGGTAAGGCAGCGCTTACAAGAGTTTGTAGTTGAAAACAAACTCAACAAGGTGGAGGGTGAGTGGATTACAGACTTTGTGAAGACGGTACCAGGCTATGGCGAAGAGGCAGAGTTCGTGCAAGTGACGGGCAACCCACAGACAGATCTTCTCTTAGAACTGTTGCAACTTCCACACGTTGTGACTGCACCATTCGTTGGTGGGGGCTTCGTCAAGGATCCGAATGAGATCAACCTAGACGATGACGACGAAGATGATGTTGAAGATAATATTGACGATGTGACGGCAATAAATACTGAAGTCACAGCCTGTACGACTAGTTCAACGACAAATTTGATGATAGCAGTAGCAGCAGACCCTCAAATCAAAATCGACCCTGGCTTTTCGTGAATATATCAATGATATTTCAAATTTAAAAATATTAAAAAAGTTTGCATGTCATAATGAAGACTTGGGTGCGTGAGGCGGCCAAGAGAACGCGGCAGCCACATTTTGGACCAGCTCTTATCTACGAAGTGAATCAGACTTTACTGTATGTATCCAGCGCATTATTTGTACTTAGCCTTCACTAGTGGAGTGATAATGTCCGGTTTCTTGCAGTGATTCGGCGTTGCAGTCGGCATTCGTGCAGCTTAACTGCGATGAAGAGACTCAAGCTTTCCTTCTTGTATCCAGATCCTGTTGATCATGATGCACAGATTCGTCAACTAATGCAATCTGCACCGTTAACACATTGAAAGACTTGCACAGGGGGTTCTCTTTGGGAGTCATTAAGCTCCACCTTGCTTGGACTCTTTTACTCGCTGACAGACGTAAATGGAATTCTGGGACGTACGTATGCGTATTAAGTGGCAGTTCTGACGTCCCGTTAAACTTTTGAGAAAGAGTCTATAGCTCACCATCCTAATCACCTCTTGTCTTGTGCTGACATGATGTTTGGCATAGGTGGTCAGATGTTTGTACTATCACAAGCTCAAGTGCAGCGTCTAATCCAACGTAAGCCGTTGACAAACAGAAGTGGTTCCCTGCTTGACATTGGAGCAGGAGATGGAAATGTGACGACATCCCTAGCATCTCTAGTGGAACAAGTGACCACGACCGAGGTTTCAGCGCCCATGGTAGCGAATCTGAACGCTCGAGGCTACAACAGCATTCAAACGTGTGACTTAGAGCACGATTTTGTGCAATCGCGCAAACCTTTCGATATTATCAGGTTCGTCGTTGCGTAACACTGAGATTATTAATCATTGTCCTTTTTCTTGACTATTCAACGTTGCGATGCGTGTGTTTGTCCACTGTAACTAAAACTGGATCGAACTGTTCTGCTACGCGTAATCTCAGCCTTTTAAACGTATTGGATCGGGCGGACAAGCCGCTCACAATGCTTCGCACAATTCGCACGATGCTAGAACCACAAAATGGTATTTTCCTGTTGGCTGTAGTACTGCCATTTGCAGCGTTTGTGGAACAGGGTACACAGCGCGTGGCACCGACCGAAAAGTTGCCAATGCACGGTGGACTATGCGCTGAAGGAGCATCATTCGAGACCTCGGCCAGTCTACTTTTGCGCAATGTGCTAGTGCCAGCTGGATTTAAGCTTCGGCATTTTAGTCGCGTGCCCTATCTGTGTCGTGGGGACATTCAGCAACCTTACTATGTTCTTTCGGACGCGATCTTTGTGCTGGAAGTCGACCATGATTGGAGAGCAAATGAAGCAAGCTGAGTAAGAGTCCGGAGTCCTGACACCACTAATTCTAACACTCATGCGTATTCTAATATTATATGCGCACTTGCTGACTCTTTGGTGGCGAGCTGTTCAAAACGTCTACTTTTCTGGTGGTTAGAGTTGCGGTACAACTTTTCATGAAAGAGCGCAGTTTTAAGCTTGATGTTGTTGATAAGATAGCATGAATGATCAACAGTCTATACCACTTTCCAGCACGTCTTGCAAAGTCACTAACGACACAGAGGCAGGACGTTATTTGTATATTACCAAAACGAGACATGCCCAGAAACAGCAACCGTTTATTAAATTTTTTCTGATTTGGTGGCCGAAAAGTCAAGTTATATATCGGACTTAAGCCGTCGAATTCGGTGTGATCTGATGTTCAGTACAAGGGAGAGAGCATTTCACTCCGCACAACTCAATTTGCACTCAAGCGTCTGTAGTGAAAGAGAAGGACGCAATACGTTTAAAAATATGGCGCCTCTCGCTGAAGTTTGTGCGCCGACATCACTAAATCTTGATGAGACTTCTATTGTGAAGCAGAAGAAAATGATGGAATTACATGAGACGCAGAAGGTGTTGGAACCACAGTGCGAAGCTGCTTGCGAGGCAGACAATAACGAGAAGAGTTTTGCTTCCAAGGCCTTTACCCTCACTACGCAACGAGATACTGAGACTGTTGAGATTCAAGAGTCTCAAAAGAAGCACGTGCGTTTTGATGTTGCCGATGTAGTTGAGTTTGAACCTACCTTGTGGACTGCTACAGTCTCGTCAGAAGGCGTTCCGGTAAGCTCAGCGCCTTATCAATCTTGATGATAGAATGGTGACGCTGACATTGTATTTTGTGTAGCTTGGTATGTCTGTAGACGTACGCTGTCGAACTAAGCGCTTAATAGACTTATATGAAAACGAGCGTGTATTGCTGCGCGTAGACCGACAAGTGTATATGGATTTGGGATACTTGGAACCAGAAGAGAGATTAGAAATTTTGGAAAATGCAGGCCATTCTATCTCAATTATCAGTCATGTCGAGCGTGAGACGCTTCGTATTAATCGTGGACGTTGGGAATCAAATGAATACGATCTCATGTACCAATACGGATTGGGTGATGTGCCATTGATGATGGACAATGATATGGAAATGGTGCAACAAGATGATGGTGACGAGATCATGCATGCTGACGATTGCAATGATCTTGATTTCATTTATGGTGCTGGTGTCCGAAATATTATTATGGACTCGGAAGTGCGCTTTGTCATGGAGGACTTGGACGCATATGATTTCATAAACACACGTACTTATGAAGATTTGAGTGTTGCTTACACCTCCGACTGTATACTTGGTGATAATGAGAGTTCGGATGAGTACAACGAACTGCCGTACGACATTGACTCGTTTGATTGTCCTCTCAGCTGCGAATCATTAGAAATGGGCTCGTCGCCTTCCGACGTGTCGAGTACCTCTGACTGCATGCTTTTGACTACGACAGCCGCAAGCTACGCTTTATATGCTTCTTCCAAACCTACTGTCAGCAATACAAAAGAAGTTATTGCTTCAGTAGAGGCCAAATTTGTCGCTGCTACATAAATCCAGAAGATGCCACACACATAGTTTGAATCCGCTGCTTTTCCAAGCCGCTTGAGTGAGTAAATGGTCAGCATATCGGCAGTATTTAGTAAGCAGGGAAAGGTGCTCGAACCTGTACATTGCTCGTTTTTTTGTCAATAACAAGTCGTGGACACATCTACGCTCATACATATAGTTAGCTTATGAATAGTACAATATCTCAATATCAAAATTGAAGTGTTCGCACATAACATTTATTGCTCATATCAACGTCTTCAAGCCACAGACTTTAAATCATGGTGCTTTCATTCGCCGCACGCATGTCTGCGAGCTCTTTCCGCTGCTCGCGTACTACTGCAATACGTTATTTATCTACTTCACCGCCATATGATCCAAGTGTTAAACGCTACGATGTCGTTGTCGTCGGCGGTGGTCTCGTGGGCTCTGCTTTGGCTTGTCAACTGAAGAGCCATCCAATGTTTAAAGGCAAGAACGTTGCTGTTATTGAACCCGCAGCACCTCCTGTTGCACCATCTGTGGAGGAAGATTCGCCCGATCTTCGCGTATTCACGATTACGCCTGCTAGTCGAAATCTATTGGAGAGCATTGGTGCCTGGGGCCTTATTGCTGACGGCCAGAAGACTGCTTTCAAGGATATGCAAGTCTGGGACGCTATGGGCGATGGGCATATCCGCTTTGATTCTAAAACACTGGGTAAAGATGCGCTTGGTTATGTTGTTGAACATCGCGTTCTGGTGCGTGCATTGCACGACCGTATGAGTCAATTAGCCGCTGAAACAGACGATAGCGCTCCTCTTAAGCTTTACTGCCCCGCTAAGGTCAAGCACTTCCAGCGTCCTACGATTGTATCTGGTATTTCTTCCATTGGTCTTGAAGATGGTCAGCGCTTAAAGGCCGACCTCGTGGTAGCAGCAGATGGAGGCAATTCCATTGTCCGCACCCTCTCGGCACTCGGTACTTGGGGATGGGACTATGATCAACAAGCGGTCGTAGCGACTGTTAAGACTGATCGTCTGAATGAAACAGCTTGGCAACGTTTTTATCCTACAGGCCCAGTAGCACTACTACCTATGCGTGATGGGTACTCATCGGTAGTGTGGTCATGCTCAGCGGAAATGGCCAAGGAGCTCACCGAACTCAATTCTGACGAGTTTGTGGTGCGTCTTAACGCTGCATTCTCTGCCCCACCGATTTCTACTGTGCCCCCCGAATTCCCAGGTATTCCTCTACTCTCTGACCTGGTCAAGGGCGTGCATGATGCCGCCAATACATTAATGTCTGCTGCGGCCCTCACAGAGCCATTTGTCGCCCCGCCTAAAGCTATCGATGCAGTGGGACTCCGTTTCGCCTATCCACTCAAGTTAATGCACGCAACCAAATACATTAAGCCTGGTGTTGCTCTTGTGGGTGACTCTGCTCACACGATCCATCCATTGGCTGGTCAGGGACTGAATCTTGGGTTAGGAGACGTGAACGCGTTAAGCAATCTCCTGATTGAAGGTGTCAAAAGCGGTAAAAACCTTTCAAGTGAGTATTTTCTGCAGCAGTACGAAAGCGAACGTTTAAAGGACAATATCACCATGCAACTGGCAATGGATGGGTTTAAGCGGTTATTTGGTCCTACTCCTGATGCTGTGTCTGTGGCACGTAATGTAGGCATGGGTACACTTAACGCTGTAGAACCACTCAAGAACCACATCATGAAATATGCCATGGGATTGTAGTAGGGTCTTCGTTCGCCACACACGTAGGGTTTAAGGCAAATATAATTTGCTCAGTTCTGAATTTTTCGCCTACTCTCCTGTACTAGATCTGACGTGGCTGAAAAAAGGTGTCGGTTGACTTCAAAGACAGAGATATCCCCAATTCCAGGAGTAGCCATTGTATCATCTTCGAAGCATGTGGTGCCTTCCGGTAGTCTTACTGTATGCGTGTCGATGATTGTTGCATATGACGCTAGCCCAGGCGTGGACATTAAGTTGACAGCCTTGTAAATCACAATTGAAAATAAATAACTAACGACTATCATTGCAGGCACAGCCACTGCCCAATGCTTGGACGGAAAGTAGGTGAATCCAACTGACTTCAGCGTCGTATCAGGAACGTATGCCCATATCAAGAAGAGCGCTACAATAATACAGTGGTCAGAATTGCTACTGTAGCTTCTCAAAGTTGCTGACGCACCATAAAAGAGAGCAGAAGCTATCCAGCCCGCAAAGCCGAAGAGCTCCATCCGCATAGCATGCAACCGCTGCATTTCTTTAAACGAGATTTGAGTGTGTGGAGAAACAATCGGCCGAATATTTTTTGCAACACAGTATTTGTCTGATGCATTGGGTTCTGGTTGTGTGCATGCAGCCGATGATAAAGGATTCGCGGACCTCCTTTTTCGGGTCATGGTAGTTTGAGCTTTGGTTTAAGAATAATACGAGTAAAGTTGACTAATCAGTGTCTTTAATGTCTAGCTTGATCTTACAGAATTAAAGTATTTTGTCAAATATTTAGCAAAGACTGAATGGAAAATAATGTCAAAGTTATCAATGACCCCATCAATCGCATCCTTTACAACCAGGTAGCACCTATGCATTATAAGCAGTCTGTTAATTCGTTGCACTACAACATGTGTTTCTTCTGGCGGCACCTGATTGATATGTGTACTCGGTAGTTAGTACAGTGCGTTTGGTGCATCGGGCAAATCACACAGCGGAAGCTTTGACACTAAGAGTTTGTGTATAGCGGAAAAGTTCGTAGGATTAACCCAGAAACGAAACCAAGAGCCTTTCATATGAGTACGAATGCACCTAAAAAAATTCTGTGGTTCTTCAGCAAAGAAGGGGCCAGCTTGCTGACCACTCGTTAGTAAGAAATATAGATCCTGATGGACATAAATTAATGTAGGAAAATACAATATGTTCTCCACGAAGGTGAGAATGTGATTGAGCTCTTGAAAGCTTTTCCCATTTCGACAGCACTAAATCGTAGACAACTCCTTGCTTGCGCTCCAAAAACACATACAGTACTGGTTGTTGTCAGAAGCTCCTCAGCTCCTCACAACAATGGTCACTATGATATTACAAAGCTTATAGTCTGCGTTAGTCGTAAAGAACGAAACCGCTGCGGCATGCTTAGACACCCAGCGAATTTTTATTGACTTTAACAATGTTTTTGAAAGCTCCTTTATCAGCCAGAACCTCTTTTTTCCAATCACGACCCCATCCTCGACGTTCAGCTCTTTGCGGCATCTGGCAAACGCCACAGCTCTAGCAAGCATTATCACGTCACGGCCAATGACTTTGATGCCTGGTATTGAAAAGATTCATTCAGCAAACCACCATTGAAGACCTACAGACTATGGCATGAAGTCACCCGCTCTTTTTGAAACCCATTGTGGCGTTAACCTCGACTTTGTTACGAAGTAAAGTCAGGCTGATATCAGCGGTCTCAAAAAAATCGACAGCCTCTCCTCCACCAATCCCGGAGCCATTACGCGGCAGTGTCGAACGAATACGGGATTAATTAAACCTTTATCAAAATGCGGTCACGTTTGTGCGCTATTAAACGTAAACATAATAAGCGTGGTAGTATTTTGCTTCAGTGCTTCCGTCCCTCCAAACAACTTACTCTAAAGATAGTATAGTTCCATTGACTGATTAACGCGCTTCGACAGCCTTCCTGGTTTATTGGCCAAAGTGGACATGCTTATCCCAGTGACAAGCAATTTGGTTTTTTACTTGATTCTAATCCAACATATTGACCAACGGCAAGCCATGCTGCAAAACTATCTGCTGACTGATAGCTTTTTTTCTCTTTCGTAGCTCCTGACAGCAGCAAGAAAGGTCTCGTGTCCGGCTGGCCCATAAAGACCACAATGCTGCTTTAACCGGACGTGCCGTTCGAAAGACCAACAAATTTGTCCATATTAGTGGACTGTCAACAATCCACCGAGGCCAAAAGGCTGACCAAAAGCGCTGATGCTTGAGGATAAGTTTCTATCCGTTATCACGTTCAGCACACGCGCACAAAAATGCTTACCGATTTATACATGATTCATCAATATATAGTGCTCGGTGACCAATATGTTTGCCGTATAGCGTGTGCTCCGTGTAACATTCTGTACTTGAGATCCCATCATGAGATAGCAGCGTCAAGTATATCTGACTTATACTACTGATACGATTGGGAAATGTAATAGCGGTGCGAACGCGCACCGAAATACTCCGATATGGTGACATTCGATTCAAAAATATTCTTTGTCTTAGATATTCTTGTCTTACAAAACCTTCAGCAATGCAAAGAATATTATATCCGACAGTACGTTGTACGTATCGCCTCATCAGTACTTGCTGTCACCATCGAGATATACGGCTGGTCAGGGGCGTGGAGCCCCAGCTCCAGCACCGCGTGAAGCCGACCTGAGTTATATCGTACCTCGGAGGTATTAATGGCAAGGATAATCAAATCATCTTTTTGCTCTCGGTAAGAGATGTAGTGACACTTTCATTAAGAACAACAATACATAACCTGTGTAGATCATAAATGGCTTAGAGCCAAGCAGGTGTACTTTGAACCCGACAAGCGAACTGCAAAGCAAGTAGCTTATAGGGTGTTCGTCTCTGCCGTATAATGCTAATAAGACTCAAACCCGTTAGTATCTAATTAGAGGAGTGTTGAATCTACAACATGCCATAGATGCCATGGAAAAGTCAACCTGTGCTCAAACGATACAAATTAGAGTCACAAATGGAGCTTCCCTTTACAAGCCTGATAGTCACATATCCGGCTGCACCCCACCGCCAACTGACATTTTTATAGAAAGATTAGTGAAAATCCGTGCCATGCTAGCGTTATTTGAACTATAACCATGCATTTGATTTGCCAGGCGAAGCCGATGACTTTCGTCATTCAAAGACAGAGGCATTCTCTAATCTACAATTGATCTTATCTTTGTAGGATTTACTCACAGACCGTGCTGAAAAACTGGTCACTTTAGCGCGCATTATTAAGCATCGCTTGCATTTGTTTAGTGTGAAATCCGTGTCTATTTATCCATGCTCCGCACGAAAATAGAACCATGTCTATCCAAGATAGGTTTATGATTATGCCCATTACGGTAGAGGCAGATATTTCTGAATTTCGTTATGATGGGAGAGAACCCGTGAGGGAAGGCGCAGCCTGAAAAGCTTCGTCATCGGACGGTAACGTGATAATATCTCTTGGTTTAGTCAGGAGCACTTATAGCATTTTAATCGACTATCATATTCTCCAGCACCTCCATCCAAGACATCGACGTTTGCGCCAAAAATGAGGCTCGCCTTTTGCCGTTTTAAGTATGCAAATTGACCACTCACGGTTGGCTTTTCTGACACAAGTATCTGCCAAACCGTGAAACATATTCTATTTCAACATGCGTGCATCTGCTTGGTACAAAAAGACCATATGTTATACAATTGGTAAGACCAATTAAGAGGTTGGTCTCCCGTGACAATTTTCTAACAAAGATCTAATTGTTGCATGAAAAATCTAATTCTACTTCCCAAACTTAGAAAAATTGCAAGTATTCTCCATTACGAGCTCTTTCATTACGAATATTAAGGGTTCACCTCCTTCGGCACTAAACGTACACTTTCGGCAAGCTCACCGCTCGCAATTTGTTTCAAACATCCATTGTGAAGACAATTCAAGCGGAATGAGCGCTTCTATCAGAGCCCATGACGAAAGACTTACTGTCCTTTGAGCTACCACCAGTCTCTCCTTTCAAATATAAATACATGTCTCCACATACGTGTTGAGATTCATAACTCTAGACGATTGTCCTGTCACTCGGTGGTCAAACTTATATATCGTAACAAATACGCACCATCCTTTAGAGATCTGGGGACAGGCGACTGTATGTCGTAAGCAGTAAGTCCTACATTCTAAAAATTTATTGGATTAGCTCAGGTCTAGATCTTGGACTTTTGAATGTTGAAGGGCCTCATACAGTCGCACTTATTGGCAACACCACTAGTAAACTCGGAAAAATCCTTCGTGCAACTGGAACTTTACGTCTTAAGACCTAAGGGTCGCAACATTTCACCACGTATTCTTCTTATTAGATCTAAACTCTACAAATCCGATCGTCTCAACCTACTACCGTGGCTCAATGCTGTTTCTGACTTCCGAGATATGGTCAAGACAACAAACAGCAACTTTGCAAGCTCATTAAAAATAAATGCTGTGTGCTAGGGCTGTCACAGCTTAAGGCCCGCGTCAAAAAAGAGCTTCTTCTAATTAGTCAAGGTAGATTCATCACTCACTGCTCGACTGTGTGGCACGAAATGTTTCAGCTTCCAGTTTCGCTTTTCGCATGGAAAACTAGCTGCGCAATACCAAAAATAAAGTTGTTTTTTGCACCCAAGACAACATTCAATTAGCAATTTGCACTATTAAAGTCTGTAAGTTTTTAAAAAGATCCGGGAAAAAGTAGACGCGTCTCCATCGCAAGACTCAAAGATCTCGTATCCGTATTCGTGATCTCCATTTCTACCGCGTGGTGTCAATTATATAATCTGAGCATTCTACGATATTGCACGATGATAACATTTTTAAGCGCTTTTTTAAGGCAGCATGTTTTAATCTCTTACTTCTCGGCGCACAGCATAACCTAGCTTTATTCAAGTAAACCGCCCTACAACAACTGAGAGCCGACGTATCTCTGCAAAATTCCGCGTTATACCTGCATCGAAACTCGACTCAACGGACCTCTCGTCGGGAGAGAAAAGGAAGACCAAGGCTCAAATGGTCACATTTATCAGAGATGTAGCAAGTGCGGATTTAACGCTCTGTGCTGCGGCTAAGATACCGCCGTTGCCGTTCTAGACCTGGCTGAGGTCAATCATCTCTACCAACTTTCGCCTTCGCACTCGAGTCGGATTTGTAAACCAAAAGTTGTAATCTACATTCAATGTATTACCTTGTGCACCTTCTAACAATATTCGATGAATGTGAAAAGTACAAGCGCGAGCCACCACTATTCAAAAAACCTTTGGTGGCATGTTTGAGGCTTCTGGACATAGTTTGCTGAAAGTTGCAATCCTTGAACAATTTTGTCTGCGGTTCGCTCAGCTCTTAACAAGATACATTGGAAGGCTTTGCACAAGCCGCATTCGCTCAAAGACCGTCCGTGACAAGTGTAAAAGTCCTGGACAACGATTTCTGATTGTTGACAGGTGACAAGGACTTCATTTGCAAATGGAACTCCCAATAAGTTTAGCGACAAACGCAGCATCTGTCTCATTAACGTATCTAGGGTGGAACATCTCGTCTAATGGGGCACGTAATTGTCTCGGTCGCTGCGCGACGCAAGTGCGCTCCCGTGACACTTAGACTGCATACTTGCCAAAAGTTACCATGATACTTCATAATGACGCTTTACTTATATACTTTTGAATTTTGCCGCCGTCCAAAAAACAATTATGGAACGTGTGCCGTTTACACGCGCACTATTTAATGATTGACGTTGTAAAGCACAAAGAGTGACGTCGATGTTGAGCAGGCACTCAGCCTTTTGCTGTGCAGGCTTCAGCGCTCTCATACCCATGCGTTTGCTGGTATAGTTGTCGGCCATGTCTCAAACTTGGGGCAAGGTCGGGTAGCGTGATGCGTGATGAGCTACACGATCGGATCTTTCACCTAGAGGGTGTTTCACAGTACAAGCGTTATGACAGATTTGAAACTTCCACGTGCGCTTCTCTTCCAATTCACCAGGTTCCAGTTATAGCCCTGGCAAAAACGCCGCGTCACAAGCTATTTCGCTGGAAGTGACCATCTCTTCTCGCTCCGCGCAGTACAGGTGAGGAAAATCCCCATGAGCTTCTGCGATTATTAAGGCCCAACGACTTTCACCAAGAGCCTAAATATGTTTTCTTCGCGGATGTTGCTCCTTAGTCAGACATGTTATTAAAGCTGAAGAATTATGTCGATTTGTTTGGTGTTCTTCAAGTTAATCCCAGCAACATCACTGTTACAGCGCAAACGCTGCACAGCTAGAAAAGTGTATTGATACCCAGCTTTATCCTCATTAGTCCGGAGGAGCGTTAGGGCGAGATTGTTTTACGGCCTTAGTAAGTCCACATAAAAAATTAAATGTTTGTATTCTTTCGTAAAATGCGAGTGATTCAATGTAGCGAGGGTGCGTAAAAGTTTCCATACACTGCATGCGTAGAATAATTGACTGTATTTCGTACAATTCCATCCCTCTCCTTAAGTTTGTGCGCCTGTGCTATCTATCATTGCGTCGGGCGTTGGGACACGTGACTTAATTACTTGATGTGAACTTTTCGTTTTGCTACGAGGTAAGGTCAAGCTGATATTTCGGGTCGATCGGTATTTACCACTCTCACGAGCGGGGACGAGATCAGAAGGAGATGCAAAAATGAAAATGAGTCAATCCGTTTATGATAAAAGATTCAACACGTTGCTCCGTCAAAGCGGTCGCTCCTCGAAAATGCAAAGAAGGATGTCCTTTGCAAACGCGATCAACGTGTTTCTCTGACCATGGATCCACTGTAAGTCCGCTGAAACATGTTAATCGAAGGCATGCACCGCTAACAACGTATTCCAAAATGTAGAGGTGCGCTTCGCACCTCTACATTTGTAACGGGGTTACACGTACCCTTGTATGAAAGGGTGGATCACACAAGATAGTGCGACTGTACAAATATGCGGATTACACAAGTTAAGGTAATCACGCAATGGTGTTAATACAACGCAACAAGAAGTCACAACGTTGAAGGACCATGCATATTAATAAAATTTTACTATCTACTTAAGAGAACCTAAGGTTTTCGATAAAGAAGGCTCTGCCGCAAATAAAACAGTCAAATAGAGTTTGTATTTTGAGCGCATGAGTTCATTTTCCTTGGTTCGAGTTTTAAGTACTCTTTAAGGTAGCGGATTGCGATCCGCTATACTTGAACAGGTTCGTGTATAAAGCAAGGTCGGTGACCTTAGCTTAGTTTTCTCTTATCAAAGAGCTATGGCAGCTCCGCTGCACTTGGTAGCACTTGTAGTCAATCTATGCCTGAGTCGTTACGACTATTCCTTTGTAAGGATGGGGCAAAACTCCGTTTTGACCCAGGGCATGCAGGACGGGCTTGTTAAGCTGATAGCTCTGCTGGGCATTGAGGGCGTGGAACACCTTGGTTTGCAAAGAGCCGAAGCGGCAAACACACACCTAAAGGTGTTTTAGAGCTATGAAATGCTCTGCTAGAGCACCTAAAGCAAGAGCTGTCAGTGTCGACTGCATCCATGACGCCATCGTTAACGACGGATGATTTCTTCCGTTTTTTATGGCAGGTTATGGTGAGCGTTAAGACCTTCGAGGGTAAGGATGGAAAGAATTTCCTGCTCTGGGTAAGAGAAGCCGAGATGGATATGGCATCCGCCATACTACAGAACGAGCAACAGCGCGTGGCGCTAGCTTTCTCTCAGCTCGGGGCCGAGCGCATGAATGGGCATTAACGTACGGTGCTTCCGCTGAAGGGCGTTTTTTTCTTGAATAGAGCTGAAGCGTCAGCTTTTGCCGATGTTCTTGCCACCTGACAGGGCAATAACGAGTTAGTGGGCTTTGTTAGGGAGTTGAGGACTTTTATTGCCGGAATGGCAGCCGATCCTCTCCTCGCGGCGGGTGCAGTGACCGTTCTTATGGAAGGACTCCGCAACTTGGTAGATCATCTCGTGACGACGTGTCGAATTCAAGTAGCGTAGTCAACGAATTGCGGCGTTCTGATGTGGTAACCCGGGATTCTCGAGAATTTGAGACAGTTGTGTAACGATATTTGCGATATCCGGCCAAGGATTCTCGAGAATTTGAGACAGTTGTGTAACGATATTTGCGATATCCAGCCAAGCGTCCGGCAAGCGTAAGTTGGAATATATTGCAGGCATCCAATTTGTGAGCGGTATGGTCTTGACCGCATCTCTGTCAGCTTCTGTACTTAGTGACTGTGACGTTGATAGCGTGAGACCGGATGTACACGGATTATCGACGTCTTGGCGTTTTCGCTCAGACACGTCGCTAATGCAGCGTGTCTGCTTGAACACTAGCGTGGAAGATGTCTTGTCGTGTTCGATGTCCATGCCCAATATAAATTTTGCCATACCGAGATGATCATCTTGAAAACACGCTTTGGCTTCCCCCTTGACTTCCAGAATCTTACCGCTCGTTCTTGGCTGCAATGATCATATCATCGACATATAGACATACGTACACAAAGTCTTCTTCCAATTTCTTTACGAAGACGCATTCATCCGCTTCACATCTTTCAAACTCGTTCTGCTAGAAGATATAATTCATCTTCTTGTTCAACCCTTTGTTGTTTGCATGAGTCCATATATAGCTTCGTTTAGTTGACACGCAAATTCTTGAGCCCCCTCAACAACAATCGAAACCTCCATGTTAACTCGCTTCAGCAGCACACTGTTAAGAGGCGGTGTCGACGTATAGCTGCTCCGTTTTGTAACCTAGTACTGTACACGCTGCGAGTATAACTCAAACTGAGTTCATTTTGGCCACTGGAAAGTAAGTCTCGAAGAAATCCACGCCGTATTTCTGCCTAAACAATTTAGCCATAAATCGTGCTTTGTTAAGCACCACACCTCCATTCTAGTCACGCTTCGTAGTAAAGACCCAGCAGCATCCAATCGTACGTTTAATGGATTCCGCGGCATGAGTGTCCATGTTCTGTTCTGTCGATGGGATTGTAATTCGGCGTCCATCACATGTCGCCAATGTATTGCTTCGTCATTAGCCATTGCCTGCGCTTCTTCACCAGCACTTACAGCGTAAGCGAAAACAGCTTCAGCTATAAGGCCGTCTTCATTAATCCTTGCACGCTTCAAAGATGGTGATCATTCGCTTTCTTCCATCCTTGACTCATTTATGTCAACCTTTTTCCTCATTCATTATCATCCGGAATTTCTTCTTCTATTTTGAACTTGTTGGTGTTTTGTCGGCCGAACGCTAGGCTTTCATCGTTGTTTTTGGTTATGTGTATCAATTTTATTTTGTTTGGGCGGGTGTGTCTCAAAATTGCCGCTTACTTAATGCTCGTCTAGCTTCACCGACCGTGATACTGATATCTTGTCTTTCTCTAAATCGTAAACTCGGTATCCGTCTTCGGCATAACCAGGAAACATGCACTTAAGACTTTTGGCTTCGAGCTCCGTGCCCTTCACTTGATCATCGTGAGCAAAACCAAGACACCCAAACATCCAAAAGACGCTTCATACATAATATCAGCCCAAATGGGGTATTGTTTGGATGCACTATATTGATAGAGCGGTTGGTGAGGTACACCGCAGTGCTTACTGGCTCATCCCGCCAACATGTCGGAAAAACACTTGAATTGTAGCATACTTTCAATAATCGTGCGGGTTATTCGTTCTGCAATCCCCTTTTTTGGGTCTTGATGGTACTTTACGCTGATGTATAGTGTCATTCCGCTGAGATAACTCCGTAACTGTCTTGTTGACAAACTCCGTTCCGTTGTCCGAGCGCAGGCACTTGATACGGACTCCCCCATTGATTTTCAAGTAATGCTTTGAACAATTGTTCTTGTCGGCAACTTCACTTTTCTTCACCACAAAGTAACCACCTAATATCGGGAATAATCATCCACGAAAGTCAAAATGGACCTAGCACTCATTTGAACTTTATTAGTGGGTGTCATCACGTTCTGGAAAAGCTTCATTTGTCTGCTTGCTCTTCATGCATCCGCCGCACAAGTTCTTGATACCTTGCTTTAGCGCAGGCATACCTCCTATGGATCGCAAAATCTTCACTAAAACATCCTCGCTTGGGTGTCTCATACGAACGTGCCATCGCTTTCGCAGACTATCAGCTCCCGAGTATTGCACTGATCGTGCCTCTTCTTGCCGACAATCCGGTTTGTAAGCTGTCCACTTCTCGTCCCAGTTGCCAAGCATAGTTCTTGTCCCAATGGTGCGCATGCTGAAACTCCACGCTTAGTCCACGTTCGACAAGCTTTTTCACCGACAGTAACATCTGTCAAGTCCAGGGATAAGCAGCACTTCCATCATCGATATGCGTCATCTGTCTAAGCCGATAAGCTCACTGTTCCAGCTCCCTCGACGCATAACTTCCTGTCGTCTGCAATCGTTACCTTGACGTCGGCTTTAAGTCGCTCGAAGTCGATCAAGCCACGGCCATGTATGACGTCACACCACTGGTCGATTAGCCAGCTTGCTGATTGCTCCTTCTCACAGCAAATACTGCATCATTACCGCTGAAACAGTTGGTTTTCAGCTGGGCAGTCCCGTCTTCTATGACCAGTCTGGTCACGATTTAAGCACTTGCCCCGAAAACCGCCATCCTTGCGTGATGCGTGATTCCTGCGACCACATCCTCGTCTGCCCTTTATCCGTCCATCATTGCCTGTGGCGCGAAACCCTTTCTCACTTGCTTCCCTCTTCTGTAGCCTTTGTGACCCCTTCAACAGCTTCTTCTTTTTTTCGATTAGAGTTATTTCTTGGTGTTTTCCACGATAGGAGAAATCATCTCATATTCCCGCGGCACCCTGCTCAGAAGTAATGCTAGCTGTCTTGATTCATCCGTCTGGAGTCGCACTACCAGCTCGTCGTACGCGTCTAGATGGTCCACCATGCGAGTACCACTCTCCATCTTAAACTCGTGAAGGCGACGTGTCATGGTGACACAGTTGTGCAGAGTGGGGTGATTGTAGAAATCGCGAAACGTTCATCATGCCCTCACGGCACGAGTAGCGGACCGAATCTTGGTCTGGTGCTGGATTTCGACGCCTTGGGCAATTATACCCAATGCATTGGCGTCATTCACGAGCCACGTATCCGTTATTTCGAACTCATCCTTGCGGCCATAACGTGCCTAAGAAGCCCTATCTTGCAAGAGCCATCCTCATGTTGAACTTTTAATGGTAGTTACCATCTCCTAGGAGGATTTCGGTGCGCTTAAGAGTTACGGCGGTGAGGGTGTGGTAAAACGAAGCTTTGTTTGCGGCTGTTAACCTGTTGAGAAGATGGCAAAAAGTGAATATATTTGGGTCCTTAGTTCGCTACTCTGTGCTACGCTTTCTATATCCTCTTATAATTAACTTAATGTAAATTCATTTGTCCAGACCAATGAACGACTACCATTACGTCTGTGATCAGCACAATAATTGTAAACATGTCCGCAATCCTTGTGACGTCATCCACATGCATTCAGTGGTATAAACTTAACAGAGCGCAATCTTGGTGAAGATCACAACGACAGGATTTTTTGGTGTGACGAACACCGGGGTGATGAGTTGAGCTGTCTAATATGACAAGCCTTTCAAATGGTTAAGAAATACACTGCTTTCAGATTACAACCTGAATTTTTATATATGGTGTTTCTTTCAAAATTTGTGAAGTAGGTCAAAAGCATCAATCGCTGCTAAGTCCCATCGCTAAATTCGTGAGCTTTTCTTGTCGGCAAATTTCTGCCTTAAAAAATGATCGTCAATCTGTCATGTACTGTCATTGGGGTCGCGAGGTATGTGTTACATGTGGAAATCAATACAAGTCTATCAGTGCATCATTTAAAGGTGGCAATAATGGAGAAGATATCAGGAGAAATTTCTGCAGATAAAGTACATCTTTTTCTGGCGAAGACAAAGCATGCATGGCTTTCGAGCTACTCGAAAGAGGCTAAAATACTGAGGAAGGGTGACACAACTCCTCTCGTAAAAGAACTTTTGTACAAAGACAAGGAGTTAAAAGAGGACGAATCAATCATCGAGCATCTTCGAGGTCTAGAGCTTCCAAAGGCATACCAAATTCATGTGCTAGTTTTGATATCGGACTGGCAAGAAAATGCGAAGAAAAAACAGCAAAACAAGAGAGAAGGCTCCGAAGTTTCATGCGATGATTTTCTAGATGCGCTGGCAAAAAAAGTCGCAAGCATGTACGATTTTGACTGGCAGTATGATAGCCCAACTGTTGGGGTTGTCCTCTTTTCATATCAAGATTATTCATGGAGATTTCGATTTATGAAGGACGTAACGCATTTGTTGAAACTCGAATTACCAGAATATCTTATCGATGGTGAATGGAAGGACCAATACGTGTTGAGTAAGCGAACAAACAATCATCATGTTCCAAATAGCAGAATTATCAAGACGCGCCAGGGAAAAAATTACATGATTCTCCCAGATAATCTTTATATAATGAGCGAGTGAATTGTTCACGTTCAAACTCGAATTTGGTCTGCCGAAGCATCCGGTTGGTAAAATCTCTGGAACCCAAACAGTCTACGCTATTCCTAAATATATAAGTTTTGGATCTAGCCATCATTACAACACTCACTGTAGCTTAATAATCTACTTTTTCCACGCTGATCGACGTTTCTTGACCGGTGGTGGCGACGCAAATTTAGCCAACCGCTGCAGTCCCGATTTCTTTCCAGAAGGTGACGCTGCAGAAGTATCAGGCTTCTTCAAGAACGGATTTGTTGGCGCAACGGACTTCTCTACATGAGCACCACTATTCATTTCAGCCTTTGCTGGCTCGGATAAGCTTGGCGTTGTGACGTTGTGAGATGGTGGAGTGTCATCGTGCTTTTGATCATGTGAAGAATGTGATGGAGGTCGAGACAAGACGCTGCGTGATTGACGTAAAGGCTCGACCTCGTGTGATTCAGCATTTATCTCCTGGTTATGGGAATGTAATCTCTGACGTGGTTGATGTCGACGTTGCGACTCTTGCTCCAGTCTTCGAGGTTCTTCGAATTTCAAATGGTACAGATTGTAAAGTTGCGATTGCAGCTGGCGTAGCGAATAGTGAATCGCAAGTTTCTGCGCAATCTGATGAGATTTTTCAAGATGTAGACATCTGGCTAAATCAAGTACGCGCGCAGGCTCATCATTCGAACATGCCGTTTTCATCATCAAAATTAAAGCCTTGTCCATCTCCGCCTGTTCGCGCACGACCTGATCAGTAATTTCATCAGCATTCACTTCGTTTGCGATGACTTCTAAACCAGAAAGCCGCATATTTTGCCACATGTAGCCATTTGCAGCTTCTTCGTTCTTCTTGGATGTCGTGGGGAAGCTTGCTGTTCGCAGTGGAAATGTACTAGGAACAGGCCGATGTGCCCCACGAAGCTTTGGATAATTAGCACCTTTCTCAAGAGGAAAATACAATAACGAATCATTTACAATACCCAGCGTAAAGATACCGTGACGGTCACTAGGTTTCTTCTGCAGTGCGTTGCCCACACAACCAATTGGAAACCAATTCCATCCCGTACAAGACGATAATGCTAGTATGCAAGCAAATGAATCAACTGCGTATAGAATCAGTCGATCGTCGAATCCAAGCCAGGTCAACTTCGACCACTTTGAAAGATCGTTTCGTAAATTCTCGTTTTCTTTGTGCGAAGCAAAAACGTCCCGAGATGGCGGAGTCATTGGCAATTCCCCTTTTGAGACCAGTTGAACCCGCTCACAAGATGAAGTTACGTGGATACGAACAAGCTGGTACAGTATCTGTCCATACAACCCCTGGTACACTACAGCTAGTAGCGATTCCCTAGCTGTCATTGTCACAACGCGACCAGGTAGACGCCATTGCGCATAGTCTATGCCACTGGTTGTGTAAATGCGAAGTGTTTGGAGTGACGTCGCAACTGCACAAAACTCGCGACCTGCAGCCACGCATTCGGCATCTTCGCCTTCAGGTAACATTTTGTGCCATGAGCTATTGCTCGCCCAAGATTCAAATGGGCGATAAAAAACAAAACTACCGATTACGTCACTTTCGCTCGAGTCAGGTTCAAGGTCTTCCCAATCTTCACGCACACGTCGAGGAACGGCAAAGACGGCGCCATAATGGTCCAAAAAGGCCATGGAAAACATATAATTGTCGTTAAATTTGAATCCACGGCGAGACTTGTCGATAAATTCAACTTTCACAAGGTTCTCGCTCATGCTGGCTCCACGAAGCATTTCAATTTCTCCTTCAGGCGTCCAGGCGAGTAACGACGTAGCACTGCTACTGCGTCCAGTAGAATTGAGAACGCTTCCAGGCTGAAAAGGCTCGATGATACTGTGCAAGGGAGTCATTTTGTCAGGGTCAGACTTTATGGCTGTATGAGCTCCTTTTGGAACGTTTACATCTTCTATATGATATTCTTTAGCAGCGCTCCCAAAGCCAAAACTAGCTTTGATCGCTTCGACCCGCGCCTCATTATCGTCATCAAAACTTTTATTCTCGTCGTCGTAATTCTGATCTTTAACTGCCTCAATTTCAGCAAAGGAAGACCCTTGTTGTTTCTTTGAAAGCTTTGTAACGTTCTTTACTGTACTAAAGTGTCCGGCAAGATGCTGTGGTGGTGTGTTTCCTGCTGGTATGACCTCTTTTACAAACGCTAGTTTTCCACCAGTGTGATAAAGCACCAGTGAATTGCTCTTGTTAGCAAATTGCAGACCAAGCGCTGGATAGTCAATTCGAAACGATCGCAACACGTGCTGCGTCGCCAGTTCCCATACAAACACTTCTTTTGCACATGTAACCGCAGCTAAATACTGACCATTTGGTGAAAAAGCCAGAATGTCCACATCAGCAGCAATACTCTTGCCAATCGGCAACATTAATCTAGATACAGAAACCCAAGTATCCCGTTCGTAAAGCTCTATAATTCCTTTATCCATTGGCACTGCTAGCAGCTTTCCAAAATCACTTGGTTCCCATGCACAGCGTAGTAACACGTCGTCTTTTCTAAGATCTTCGTGCTTTATTTGAAAAGTCTTGACATTTGTGGCACGCTGATTCTCTGCATCCAATGCAAAGACTCGCACCGTTGCATCCTCGCTACTAACGCAAAGATATTTTTCTTGCGGATCTATAACCACGCTCTTAATTATTCCAGTAGCTCCTTCAGCCATAATTACTTGTTCTGTGTCATCGCGTAATAGCAGTCGCACTACAGGCTCTTCATCTGCAATTGCGATGTACTTGGTGGAACATGCGACTTGACGGATCGATACTGTAGAGCGACGCAATAGTTGCTCCAACTGACAATCAGGCGGAAGGCTATAGGATGCCACGTTAGTGTCATCATCTGATGCAATGAGGACGTGATTCTGATCGGGCGTCACGGCAAAGGATGGCACAAAACCTTCGCACACTTCCGATTGATACACAATGTTCTCAGTAAGTAGATCCGTCACATACAGAACACCATCTTCTCCACTCGTATAAACAATATCGCGATCTTTCGGTACTTTACCATCTTTCATTGGACGAATTGTTGTCACCAGCTCCATGGCGCCTTTACCGTTTACATTTACTGCAATCTCCTTCATCGTCTCCATGGTGCGAGGTGAAATGATGTACTGAAATGATGTACACACCGTTTTGTAAGTACGATACGTATTTATTCGAATTACAAATGTAAACTGATTGTCGACAGCAAATGTGCGGAAAAGCGTGATAGAAAACGTGCAAGCTGCACGCCAAAGTATGGGAGTTGGATATTTAAGTAGCTGTTAATGGTATGTATGCTTTCTTTATTGAGAGTCTGTGTTCCGAAAATAAAGAGCGGACATCAATACGAGATTGAGAAAGTGACCCCTTATGGCCAGAAATCGTGTGTGGGTGGTTCAAAGCCTACTCCTACGACTATGTGCGGCTGACCTTTGCATTTACAGCTTCAGCAGCCAAAGGCTTTGTAGGCCTTCGAAATGGAATGGCGTGCACCTCACGCAAATGAACCTCTGACTCGGCAACCCCGCAGTAGCAAACGCACAGAGAATGAGTGGACTCACACGCTCTACCCAGGAGCGAGATCTAGAGCCTTCAGAGTAACTAGATACTTAGCTTGTTCTCTCTCAATACAAACACATAAATTGAGTCTAGATTATACCCATAGTATGATTGAACATAATGATTGTAATACCAGTAGAGTTTCAGTCTTGGCGAAGGCACGAAACATATAATGTTGTAAGTAAACACTACATGATTGTACTTTGACCTAAAGCAAAGGCTCAGAATACCAGAGTGAAGCATCGTAATAAAGACTAAAGATTTGCGCTTAGTATGGGTGAATGATGGAGCCGTAGAGCGGAGAACTTTTAGACAAGTAGGATGCTAGCCTCGCTCTACGAATTAGAAAATTTTAGAAGCTGTGAGCTCGCAATGGCGACAGCATGCCGCTTTCAATGCCTGGTCAACAGCCAGGTGGCACTGGAGGTCTTACGCCCATTCATTGCGGTCAAATAAACTCTTTTATGGTCGAGAATTCTTTCATTTTTTCCGAGCCTTGGTGGAACTGGCACCCCCACCTCAATGATTGCTCCTGTGGGCTCAGTTGGTTCCTCCACTACGCCTGTTGGGGCTGAATATGGTTAGATCCTTTACCTACAATTGAGCACAAAAGGATGATTGGATTTGTGTCTAATACAAAGCTTTTAAAGACGCGGATGAAACCGCGCCTCATGTACCAGGCTTTGATACTCGTAAGCGTCTTTGAGTAAGGGCAATTATTTTTATAAGTTGTAAGACGCACATTCAGATTGACCGCTGACAAAAGAACGATTTCTTATACTAACTACCATCACAGTAATAGTAGGAGCGGCGGGATAGCCGTGATACCTGAAGCTCATCCGATGGGGTGCGTGCTCCATATAGTGTACGTACACGTTCTTCTGTAATCCCTTGGACTAACCACAAAGGTGCCGATGTATAAATACTATCATGAAGATAAAATCTGTGCTTGGTATGTTGGGATTTTGAAAGAAATAAACACGAGAGACACGTGGGCTGCAAGCCAAACGCAGTGCGTATTTTATCGCAGTTAATATGATGGATAAATATATCGAATCCGTTTGAGACTCTATCAAAATACTTGCTGATTTCAGCAGTTGTAAATATTACCGTCATTGAGGGGGAGTCTGTAAGATCGTCCTCTAACGCGAAGCCCGAGCACCGAAGTTTTGCCTCTGTGCAAGGGACACGGCAACGCCGTTGCACTTATCATCACAAGTCATCAATCCAATGGCCGGATACAAATGAAGCATAACGTGCTCATATTTTTGTCTCTTGGCAACAAGCCATGTAAATAAGATTAGGTTCTAAGGAGACCATTCGTCTGTAGGCGCCCCTAGCTAAGAGAATTCGACGAGACATGTCTTTTATATTCACTTTCACACGCCAACAATATAAACTCTGCCACACGTTATCAAAAGACTCGCAGCCAGACGCATACGGAAGCATCACCGGCTTCCACAGAGTCTTTCGAACGAAGCTGCATTTGCAGAACTTTGGGTTCTTCAAGCTCGAAACAAAATATTCTTAGAATACGATAAATTGTGCCAGCTCTTAATTTTGACGGAGTATCAGCATCCTGCGCCTTTGATCTTCAAGCGAGGGTCACTACGACGCGATACTCTCCGTAAACGAGAACTCCGCAACGAGTACTGGTCAATTGGCAACTGTTGTGAGTTCGTGCACTGCTCAATCAGGATTTCCGCTAGTGGTCAGTATTATAAGCCGTACATCAAAAGAGATATCGTATAAATGAACTGTGCCTAAGGCCTGAGAGCTTTATCTACATCGATGTCGACCTGCCTTAAGCCCAAAATTGTAGCGACCAACGTTTCCGAGAAATACCAATGTCGATTAAGTGACAAATGTTGCATTTAACTTGGAACATAACGTATGATACCCAAAATTGTTAAGCGAACGGGGCTCCGAGTGCACATCCGCGACGTATCCCACTTGACTGAGTATAAACGGAGTAATCGACTAGTCACTATGCTGCGTACCCACAGATGTTAGATTTGCGAGTGTCTGACCACACTGCCATGTTCTCAGTCGAGAGCTACGAAGGACGGATCGATAGGCAGCTCATAATATACTGTTGAGTCTAAGTAGGCCCGAAAAGTCTTACACAAAAACAGAAATCGATGTACCTCGTGGAGGTCAAGTATGCTTAAACTCAGCCCTCAATATAGTGTTTAAACCAAATGAGGTGGGACTTGAAGTCTAAGTGTATTAGTCGTTAAATCAATATTCTGAGGTTGGTGAAGCCATGGAAAGTCCAAATGGATTCAGACTCGTAGTGCAAATACGTGTGCGCGATTGTTGAAAATATAAGTGACACTGTGGAAGCATTGACAATGCCAATATCCGTGTTTCTGCGATATATCGCCAGATGATTTTATTAGAACAAAATTTGATATGAATATTGTGTAATGGATGCGCGCATGATTGATTTATACCACGCCTTACGAATGGCAAACTGCAGCTTTTGGAGTATATTGAACGGCAAAATATGTACTGGGATATTTAAACTGACAGTGGGTTTGAACAACGCAGCAAGAAAGTTCGTTGAGCACAATTGTGAAGCGCGTAAATACACAAAATATACAATTTGGCTACGATGTTGTGAACATGAGCTTGTTGATTTGATTGGTCGTTCTTTCTAATATTGAAGCCGTTACTTCTATCAATTTGACTTACAGTGAACAATTTGACGTTTAATGGTCATGAAATCAGGGGAATCCAACTAAATTTTCTTTAAGGGCAAAATTTTGGTGATGCTCTGATTGCTCTTTAAACTCAAAAAAGTAGTCAGGGTTTTGCTTTTTGCGATAATTGGTTAGCGGTAGACTTTATATAGAATCGCACACTACTCACACAAAAGTTAAAAATCTGCAAATTGTGAAGATGATTAGTAATAATGGCTAGTTATTTCTGCCAGGTTAAGCATTTTCTTAATTTTCCACATATTTACAAAAGCATAAAGACCTACACTTATCCAATATGTATCCCGTTGATGATAAAGTCAATTGAGGGTATAATCCATCTCTTGCTGTAATGAACCGGGTCCCAATACACCTTTCGTGTGGAACACATACTTTTGTGTATTTAACATTAACCATACAGCCTGTGTAGTTGAATATCTCCTTTCGATCTGTTTATAAAGCCTATTGGCTATAATAAGAAATGTCTCTTCACCTTTCCTCCTCTTTACGTAAATCAACGGCTCGCTGAAAGTGAGGACACGCGGTGAGGTGTGCCAGTTGACCTAAGCCTCCTTTAGTATGTGCGTGTACAAGGACGGGCAAATGTCGTTACACTCGCGCAGTACGAGTAGTCTTCAAGATAAATTAAAAAAAGTTATTTACAATTTTCAGCGTGAAAGCTCAACATTTTAATATCTAACAGCAAATATATCAAGCGAGAGGTAACCACATGCGACCAGAATAATTGATAACGGTGAGATGTACAAGACATCATTACCAGCTTCTACCTGATAGGTCTAGGAATGAGCAGCATCGATAAAAGCACAAAATGCAAACGGGCGTGGAGTATCTGCATTTCATATACTCTAAATAGAATATTTGCTCTAATAAAAAGCATTCTAGCACTATAATTTATGTATAGACTATAAGGTTGGTAGTTTGACTTGGCCGGTCGGCATCTAAAGAGTAACGGAAGATTACATAGGTAAGCTCAGGTTGGATGATACAATCAAAATGAAAAAAAATCCGCTTGATACTTGACATGCATTTAGGTTACACCTTTTCTAATCTAAAAGAATTAAACTCACAAAATCAAAAAAATTAGAATTCATATGTCCAACTCATGCATACGCAATTGTACATTTTCAATTTGTTTGACGTATAGCGGATAATGATGAGTACAATAACATATACTAAACATAATATACAATAATGGTGTAAAACACTGCGCTTAGATACATACTTCACTCTCTATACTTTACCGTGTCAACCCTTTGACCGTAATTTCACCTTAGGTTTGCTCGCGTGAACCGGATTAAATGGCTCATCGAGCACCCGCAAAAGCGCGGACTCCGTGTCCGAAACGACTTCAAGATTCTCTATGAGTATGTTGAGGTGTTCCTTGATGAGAACGGTGTAGTGGCTTATTAAAAACCGAACAAAGGTTAATACCTTCACCAGGCGATACGCGGTCTAGCCGCCCCCATAAAGGTTGAAGTGCTTACTGATCTCAGCACACAGAACTCAAGATCATTGTATTCTTGTCATGGCTCAAGGAGTTTGATTTTTATCTTGCACACTCAAACGTCGCTCCTAGTCTTGCACAAATCACATCATGACTGCAGATTTCAACAATTTTAAATTCCTTACCGTATTTTCGCTCACACTTGATGCCAGTGTGATCCCAAAAAACTTTATTCCCCAGGCGCGTCGTCTGCGTTTGGAGCAGCAGCAGTTGGGAAATCCTACCTCCATATTCACTTTGGGGACTAGAAGCTGGCGAAGTCCTACTGAGTATCAGATTCAGTTCGCGCATTGGTTGACAAAACCACGCCACGTCACATTTGGAAGGCTTTACATACCAGCCCTACCGATTAAGACGTCCGCCGTGAGACTCGCCTCGTGCTTTACCATGCAAATTTAAAGTATGACGCAGACGTCGAAACGACAACCTATCACTAGTTTCTTTGTTACAGACCCATGCGTCCGCATGAGACAGCTGATACAGCTGCCGCACAAGGACACAGCAACGTCGACCACTTTCTGCTTGTGGAAGTCAAGCTGCGAAGGATGACCCTATCACTGCGGCACTAGGAGGTCAGTGAAGCCTCAACTCCAAAAGACTTCGACCTGAAATGACCCCAGGTACCGGAAAGGTCGCTCTTTCACGCGCCGCCCACCATACGCATCACATGAAGGCGAATCCTCTCTTTCTCTTCGAGCAGTACAAGCAAGGTGGCCCTCTCGTAAGCTCTCTCATGTTTGGAGATGAGTCGGCTCTCTCCGAGAGTCATGGCTTGCATCTGAGTCGGAGATTGACCAATCCTCAGATTTGGTATCTGAGATTCGTCCTCATACTGCCTATACCTACATTTTAGATCCACGTCGCTGCTTCAGGGCAGAGGGATGCTCTGCTACGCGGATTGACCGAGCGTTGCTTCGTCTGCAGCAGACCTTGACACATCCAACTGGATCAAAAGAGCGAGATCGTGGTATAGCTTCAGGAAAGTGACATAGAGCACTGATCTGTTCGTATAGTTAAGGTATAACTGAAGCATTTTTTGCTACTACTGGGAACACTTCGATAGGCGCAGTCGCAATTCTTGTCTTAAACACTCAGAACACTACATATGTACATAGTAAATTGAATTCAATTGAGAAATTTGTCTCGCAAAAAGATACGTGGTTTTTCTGCCTGCCTCTGTTCCTAAGTTTTTCCTTACTCCCAGCTATTGCGTCACACACCTGCGCAAAAAACTTGAGCTTATCGAGATAAAATAACTGATTTTGTTAAATAGATTATTTGGCTGAAATCACAAAATGGATTTGAGTCTGTAGCGCCGTCCCCATTAAGACGGGTGCCATTTTGTGACTGCGTTAATAGGACCCTGAGCATCTGAATATTATTTATGCAAAACAGCATTTAGTCTGCAAAGGCATATTCTGCATGATTTCTCATTAACAAAATGAGCTGGTGCTTCAGCACCGTAGAATCCACGCGCATATACTCCAGAGGATTATGTTTACATTAAATTTCAAGCCTTCCGTCGAACCATCTGCTGGAAGTGGCCAGTAATTGGTATATCCAGTCATACCCAAGCCCCCCTGAATTAGGATTTCCTTACCTTCGGTGTCAAGCGCATATTCTTATGCGATACAATTGCTGATGAAAAGTCATGTTGGCGAAACAATTTATCGAGAAACTGCCTGGTTACATTTTCAACGGTCACAATATCGCTGACAGTTGCGGAATAAGCCATTTCGCTCAAAAGGTCTACGAATGCCACAGAAATATGCTTACGATCTTTTACATTATGGAACGTCACTAGATAGATCAGTCTGTTATCATCTTCAAAGGAGGATCCTAAAGTGCCTTGAACGGTATGCTGTACGCGCGGTCCTCATCATCAGGCGCCATTGACCACTGACTGTCATGTGGAACAGTGCTGTGATAAAGCAAGCCACGGAGAAAGCCGATTTGGTGCAGGCGTAAAATCGGACGCTTTTAAATAGCGCAGTTTAAAAATCAAATCGTTTGCTTCCAAAAGCTTGCAGCAGCGCAAGACATTCCACATATGACCCGTACACCTATCGTATCGCCTTATCAATTGCAACGTCACCATTGAGAAATGCGACGATTTATCGTCGTGGCAATGCAAAAGTGCACCCACCAGTATATTAGACCATCTGTTTTCGAAATACTACTGTGAAGAGCAGGATAATCATTTCGCAATTTTCTTGAAGAGAGGCGGTGCAGACGTCGCTATGCTCAACGACGGATGATCTGTACAGATCATAAACGACTGAGATCCAAGTAGATGCACTCTGACGAGGCGGCTACGGCTTACGCACTCACGTTACAGTAGCTGCAATATCACGTCACATGCGTGATAGCGCTTGTAGACGTGCTGCATCGTGCCTGAATTATCTAGCTACCTTGTGAATAGATCTCGTCATGAACAGGCTGTGGTTTCTGCTGGCGAGGCTTAAATGCGAGTGCACGTTTATGCCGATTAGCACTGCTTACAGCAAAGTGTAGCCTCTTATAACGGCGGAAGGATGATAGTGACGCGAAATGGACCATTGTGGTTCAGAAATAGGCTAGGATTGGACGCGCATGATGCTTTTTTACAGCCTTAAAGGCCGTTTCTTTCCCCGTACCCCAAAGCATAAGTCATATTTAAACATCATCTTTCAATGGGTTTGGTGAGACTTAGTGTCTTATAGACATAGTTTGTCTGATTTGTTCGAGCCGATGAACAGGTTAATCCAATTCCTCAACTATTTATGGGACAAAGTCACTAGCCAGCTTTCACCGACGTTTTTGTTCGTGTGATGTGCCCACATGCCCTACTTCCCGATGAAATAATCCAAAAAGGGGATTTGTTGGCGTTAAGACAAACTTGTCGATCGTGGCAAATAGTTTATTTCTCGAGCATGACTGATAAAGGCTCAATATGGTTATTTAAGTCTACTTCTCTTGCTGTACAGGACTATGGACGATTATGTATTGGAAATGGTCTTTATATAGTATCGACCTAGCCTGAACAATTGTGTCACTAGCTGATTGAGCGTCACTTGTGTATAAGATAGGTTTTCGGTATAATCAGAGCTCTTGCTTGGAGCACCGCCGCAAGATAAACCTACTATCATCACTACCAACTCGATCGAAAACACTGATCAAAGTGCAGCTGTATATGCCGATCCGAAATGGATTCATTCGATCAAACGGCTTTGCACCGAAATTGTGGCTGCATTTTGCTTATTCTAAGAATGATTAAATGCTTAATGCCGTAAGCCTTTCTGAAAGTCTTTGCCGATAAGATTAACTTTTCACCAAACCACTTTGTCCCTCCCATGAAAAAAGCGTAAACGAAGCCAAGCTGCTCCTTCGATAAGAATCATTGCCATGAACAGCACAATTTGGTTTCGAAAGAGCAAACAAATCACAAAATGCACTTCTCTTTCCGAGAGTAACGCAAGTGGAGGAATTCTCGTCACCTCTTTATTATATTTCTTCAGCAAAAGGTCCGTAAGATCCTTGCGGACTGCTGACTATCTCCTCTGAAAACGCTCTGCGACTGTCCGCAATGATAGATTTATCTATAAGAAATAACGTTTTTAGTTTTTTTCGTGTGCAAATCGTATCATTTCGGTAATATCAACGTTTGCGATTCCTTTGTCACGTTCTCAAGGTATGTTTGCTCTAGCCCGAGAAAAGCTTCTACAGAAATTATATAAACAGATTCGTAAGCGGTCACTCTATCCAAGATACTATGATCTCACCTGCACGTGGAGCTCCGATACATACGGTGACATATAGCTGACTCGCCACTACCTTCGCCTTCTGACTAGGAGACACCAGCCTTCTTTCCTTCAATACCATGCATCGTACATGAGACTTGCAGTCATTCTTTACGTTACCAAGTCTGTCCTAAGAGATTGCGACACACAGCTTCTCCCGCTTTTCTCCGGTTCTTTATAGCAGCCATTTACATCATAGCTGTTCTATATAACCCCGTTGCCTGAAGGAGACTTCGAGATGCACGGCATATAGTCGTTCTTACTCGTCCCAAGCATTATCCAATCGCCGCTTCTGTCTGATCTTGAGACCCAGACTTACTTCAGTTTCTGACTTCGCTTTATCGCGCCCACTTCTGTTTCTCGGTAGGGGTGAGTTCTCAGCTCACTACGGCTCCACCATGTGAGAAGCGTGTGGTCCATCTATTACTTTTCGAGTTTCAGACGGCCTAGAGTTTGTGGCGTTTCAACAACACCAGGCCTAGAACGATCACGTATTTTGAATCTAAAACTAGAAGTAGACGACTTTCCTTGCTGGTAAATTCTCAGACTTCTCTCTCATTTTGAACCTTGTACCCTCAATAGTGTTCTCGTCGCAAGACGCATGAATATCGTATCCGAATTTGGCTCTTTACTACGGTATACTGTACACAGTATACTGTAACAGTCGCGCGGCGAACGTAATTGCACGACGCTCCTGTCGTTTATATCAACAGCCAGCAACCCTTGGTTGTGAGGCCCACATTTCTTAACGAGTCGCCTCTTCTACGGCTGGGTACTATTGATCACGACTTCCATGTGATGCAATTAGAACTACTTCTTTACCAGTGCGCCCAGAGCGACATACTGGCAATTAAGGTCCTTACGAGTCATCGTCTGCTGTGAGGTGGAAGCCTGATCTTACATATTTATCAGCTGCGACCGAAGGGGCATGTATGGTACGGTTGTTTTGAGCTACCGAAAATGAAACATCTGTATCGCTGAGCTGATCAGAAATCTCTCTCTTCTTCCTCAGCAAGGATGAGTTCCAATGCCTTCGGAGCGCTGATAGTGAGTACGTGCCCAGCACCTCAGCCAGCCCTCGAGTCACAGAAATTGCGCTTGCATTGAAGGCGACGCAGACCGCTTTGAGAAAATAGGTTACCATGAAAGGTCCCAGTACGAGACAGACCATTCGACATTCTTCACAACGATGATAAGTGTCACAATCTTCGGTGAGGGTTAAACGCCGTTGCGACGTTTTGGACGCGATATAGGGATTTATAACGCACCCAACACGCTTGGTAAGGCGGCGCAAGCATCCGCGACAATGATCGCTTCAAATCTTCTGTCGTGGGAAACACTTTAGGACAAAATATTCCAAGCATTTATTTGTTCTCTCGCACGCCTCCCTTGCTTGAAAGCGCGAGCGCCACGCGCTTTGGGGCCGTTTGGAGCAAAGCTGAAACCTGGCCGTCTCTGAATATTTAAACCAGAGGGAGGGGTTTCTTCGTCCTGGCCTTTGAGAGCCATGAAGCTTCATATCAGCAAATTCACGGTGATGCCCATCCGTTCAACCTCCAGCGCCCGAGTCAGACATCACTGGACGTGTCTTACTAGCACAATATAAGAACTAGTAATCGCCATCAGACTTTATGCCGCCGTATCCTAATTTAGAAAGACAAAAGCTCGATAAATTGATTTTTTTTTGGTTTGGGAATCAGTCTTCAAATATCATTGAGGAGAATCAGTTTTCCACGACCGAGTCGTGGTATTGACGTAAGGAATTTCTAAGCGCATCAAGGTCGCCGTGCACTTTGCGCAGAAATTTTTTGGACGCTTCAATCCCGTTTTTAAACCCACAGTGACTAGATTCACGTCAAATAACTAACATTTATAATTCGCTCTTCTATTCTAAAGTACAAATATTGACTACCGTACTTCACAAAATAAAAGCCACTCAAAAAGATCACTTTTTTCTGATTTTC